TCTACTGACTGAACAACCCCGTTCCATTCTTTCTACTGGACTTTAGCGCATTTGTATTGAATGGAGTTTACCCGAAGGAAATATTTTCGAAATAAAATTTATTCTATTCAATTAAAAAAAGAATAAATAAAAAAGTTTGTAAGATATTTAGGAAGCATAGGAATTGCTAAAGACTCGAAAAAATGTATTCAAATATAAAGCGAAACTGTAGATCCCGAAACAGTGTTCGTTTATCAACACACAACAATGGAACTTCAGACAATGAGGGCGGAATGAAACCGTCTTAACGTATGTGCATCGGCCTTCTAACATGAACAGTACGAACGTTCGAAGATTGTAAAGCACCCATTGAAACCCTATTCAGAAAATATGGCGAGTTTAACACATTATACAACGATAATATTGCCGTTGAAGCACTCTGACGAAACGCCTCATCAAAAGCTGCTGTGTTGACTGCTCCAGTGATGAAATAAATTTAAAGGACCTTTCATCTATACTTTTTCTAAAGTAGTTTTATGTCCTTGATCCATAAACGGTCCACTGACCAATATATTGATAAATGGTTAATTCATCCAGTTGTAAAACAGGAGTAATGAAGTTTTACTTTTCACTTGACAGATACCGATAATGGAGTATCCACACTTAGGCCTAGGTCACCATCTATGATAAAATGGAAGCTGGCTATGCTTCCCGAATCACCGAATCAACTGTCATTTATTGTCGAAAAGTATAATTAAATAGATAAGGCATGTTTTGCATAGTGATCGACATTCAACGGTGGAAGTAACAGAAGATGGATGCATAATTTTTTAATGTGTTATTTCGAATTATTGAAAACGAAATGTATTGATATTAAGAGCACGGAATTAAATCGTTTTCGAAATACACGGGTCGTTTTATTTGAAATTTGACTGTTCAGCCCTAGCGTTGAAAAAAAGCTAAAAATTAATTTCTTCGAAATTTATTACTGCATACCAAATCATTACTCGGCAACTTGTTAAAGTGACGAAACTGTGACTTTACATACCACTTTATAGACCTTGCATTTGTTTGCGTTTAGCACCACACTCGACGTATATCGCCATACGAACAGACTCCACGACCTTATGTCGGATAGGTAAATCACAGCTGGTACAATAATGCGGATATGATGAAACAGCAGGCGGAGACAACGTCGTATGTACTTACCTTTCCAGTACGAAAGATGGTTCGACAAGATCGCTTCCTCTAGGCAGCACCGTCGTCGACACCGCGAGTTATTGCGTGACTGAAACGCGACAAGTACAAACGTTACTTTGGCTGGCCGTCAAGCACGTGAATTCGCTGCTGCCATCTTTTGCACTCTGCCACCCTGCTTATTGCTTAGAAAATGAAGTGTCGACCTTCGCGCGTTTGGTATACTTTAATAGATGTATTTTTTATGTAAGTACTGACATGCGAAATCCAGAATTGGGTGATCTCATCGCTTACCCTCAACCACTGTAACAAGGCCCTTTGAGGTAATGGCGAGACGATTGCACAGTGAGCACAGACAAGCGCTGGTGCATGATGCGAGACTGTTTAAAAAAAACAGCAGGTGCTCTGACACACCGATAAATTCAATCCGTTTTCATCAGAGATCCAGGTCGGGTGCAGCTGCATGGCTGCTTGTCGCCAGCGCAGTTGAACTGCAAATTATCGTTCTAATGGAAAATTTTTCGCGCGTACAAACACTGACAGTAAGCCTGGACATTGGAGGCCGTGGTTCAAAGTGATAGATGCACCTGTTGCACCGAGACCAACGTCCACTCAGTAAGTAATGTTTGATGGCCGCAACCCTGAAGAAACGGCCTCCACAATCGAAGCTGATTCACCCACGGCGCAGATCAGGAGGGGGCCATCTGCATCTAACATTTCTCAGGTTTACCGTACAATGCCAGAAAGAAACCGTCAAATTCGGGCGACTCATTGGCTTCTTGAGAGTAACAACAACTAACAGGGGCCAACATCGTCTGTTAGACGAGGATCACAAAATTATTGTATCTACGCGCATCTGTGTACTGACAAAATGAACCATTTCCTATGGAGCCGCAATCAAGTGTCACAGAGCAGTTGTTGTGCGCCTTTGTCTGCTGCGCAGTTTCCACTCTTCTCAGCAGTCTTTTCGAACACAGTATTTCCTATGCTTAACGGTGCGTCCAGAAATCTCCAATGCTTAAGAGAGTACAATAGCACAGATATAGGCATTGAATACCTGCCAAAACCAGCTACCAGCTTTTTGCGAAACTTAAGCAACGCTTTTCGCTAGCAATCTACCAGTGAATAACGCAAGGCAATCTTCAGCCAAGAAAGCAAAAAATTCAACGCACACAATGCGCAACGAAATATTTGTGATTTTACACCATATCCGAAGGACATACAAAACCATATACGAAGGACATATAATTAAGCAACGGCGTAGATCAAAATAAGCGAGCAAACAAAAAACGATATATGAAGCCATGTTGTTCGTATTTGGATGGATTATCATAGACTTTAGTAATACTGTTATTGCTGAAGATCAGCTTCTATGACATGGAAAGTGAATCCCAGCTAAAAATGCATTTGCTCTCACAGGCAGCCTCTGCCCTGTTAACTCGAGCTATATTTATTTATCATGTACATATCAACCATGCTCCACAATCCATTTTCGAACCCGCAGTGGTGGAGAATGAGCAACGATTAAAGTACCGGACTCCATGTCAATGACAAGAGAAAATCTGTCTAGAGGAGAGGTGTCGGCCATAAATACAGCAGGAAAAATTATGGGTAGCGTCTGTATTAATTCATAAAAAGCGCATGGTGGCATATTTTTATCTGCTGTCTACCTTCCAAACAAAGGATGACCACCCATGAGCAAGATAAATAGAAACTTTGAACGAGTAAATCGTGCGGTATGACATCATGAAATCGGAAGAAAATAACACCACTCCGGGATTAAGCGATTAAAAACCAAAACCTTTCCGCGTAACAATTAGTGTCTGAATGAATGAATGGATGACATTTCATACTGTTACTGTCACATAATTACATCGTAACGACGTTTTATTAACGCAACAAATCAATGATTGACAAGAAATTGAATACAATGCTTAATCATTTTGATCTTAACAAAAGTCTGGAGAAAATTTACGATAATGTCAGCTATCGCAAACTTCAATGAACGAAAAAGCTCAGCCTTTCCGTGAGAAGAGTACAAAGTAATGCAGCACAGTCAAAAATTTTCAGTTGTTTTTCGCAAACTTTTCTTTGAACCGACTCAAGCATTCGTGGTCGGTCGGCTTCAGCGAGGTAGCTGCTAACGGCCAGTTGGGGGCTGGACAAGGTGGCGGGGGGTATTCATCACTGACTTCGAATTTCGACGTTGAAACGCTTATGCCTTCATCAGCGCCACACCCTTCAAGTCTTTTGATCAGATCAGTTCCGCTATTGATAGCTCCGTCGATATCAACTAGAATAAACCGAAATTGAAATTATGTATCAAACGAAATAAGACAATAGCGAAGCAGGAAAACAAATGCACGCAAACAAACAAAATTCGTGATATATCAGCTTCGACAAAATATGCAGCGCCTAATTAACGTTTAATGTTAATGTTTAGTTGAATGTATGTCAATGAAAGCCTCATCAACTCTTACCATAGTTGCAGGTTCATTCATAGGTAGTGATAACGTTTGAATCAGCAAAAACTGGATGGTGTGGAATACGAAATTTTGCTCATGACAAGTAGTGCATATAACAGCAGTCAACACGCCAAACCCAAGTACAGCAACGTTCATTATTTTCCATGGTTTCACTAAATCTGTTTTAATGATGCTGAATGATTTCGTAAAAGAGAAGAACTCAAATGACATCGCATTGTTGTCTGCAAAATGGAATTTACCAAATCCACGACAACCCACAAGAACTAGACCTAAATCTCTGTCAGTATGGTGGGATGCTTTGCAAGATGAAACTGTGAACAAAAATTTGTGGATGGCATGCTAGTGAGGTCCAACTACATAGTAAGATGCAACACATCATTTTCCACGTCTGTATGTGTGTCTATTGAAATTACCGCTGTAAATCTTCAATAAACAGAACGTCTTTAGTTTGTGACACCAACAACACGGACAATTTTTCCAAAGTTCATTAATTCGTAAAGCAATAATTACCACACTATGAAAGAAACAACTGCCATTCAAACATATCTGCGTCTACGCTGTTTATCAGTGATGCATACGAACCTCCTAGTCAATGTCTGCAACCTCAGTTTCCGCGAACGCTAACCCAGAAACCATTAACTGGCTCAAAAACATGAACAATCCAGCATTGACCATGTTGATCACTGCCAGCGTGTAACGTAAGAATCGAATCAGTAAACTACTCAAAACCTGAACCTTATAACAAGCCCTTTTAACTGCTAGACAAACATAAGACTTTAAACGGACAACTTCAAATGGTAACAGTTTACAGACGATGTGAATAAACATAAATCTCATTAAGTGCCCAGGGAGAGCAACAGATCATTGTATCGAACAGAGGAAGAATGACAACGACAATAAGTGGGGACTAGGTGAGAAACTTTTGACTGGTCAAAACTAGTAATATTTACTTATGCCCATCAACACAATCGCGATTGTGAGATCAGTCACTTTGGCTGAGTACAGCAGGTCGAAACTTGGTCCCTTTTCGCGACACTATATGCTGTGTGTCAATTAATAAAACATTTTTTGTTTCGATACATACGAAATTTTTTCAAATTAAGTGACAGTTAAAGTGGGCTTACAGATAGCATGCTGCACATATCCTTTCGCCAGGTCCTTGAGAATGTTCTCCCGCGCGGTTATTGTTTCTTCGACTGTTTTCTTTTTCTGCATCGCTTCTTTCAGCAACTTCACTTTCGCTATTTCTGTCTCTTCGATATTTTTTATCTTTGCTCTGAAACAAAACGCGTACAATTCAGTTTACATTATTTATTAGAGATACTGAAATTAATTAATTTCTGGCCTAAAATTAGCAACAGAAATCACCATTCTGTTTAAGCTTAATTACAGATCAAGATTTCAGGCTTGCGTATGTTATAACAACATATAAAAATATTGGCAGGTGATAAGATCTCCTGAAAAGCAACTTATCTAATTCTCTGAACCAGAGAAAAAGCTCTCTGGACCGAAAATAACTGGATCTTAGAATGAAAATTATTTTTCGAACTTGAGGATTGAGCCAACAGTTCTGAATAATTACCAGCGTAGTGACGTTTCCACATAAACCTGGAAAAGAACCGTCAAATACTGACTAACAGTTGGTAATAAAGCGGAGGTTGAACAATTTGACGGACGATAAGAGTGAAAAGATTAAAGGTACCAAGAAGAGCATATTCCACAATTTATCAAGACATTACTTGGATTACATTATAAAATAGAACCAATGCTTACTCCAGTCCAAGATCCACTTCTGGGATACCACAGAGCATTTGATTTGATAGCATGTCTTCGGTCTTTCGACTGTGATATTTCGTTAAGTAATTGGGTAGTTCGAAAAGGACATCATCAATCGAAATGGTCTTCTCTGCTTCAGACTCCTCTTGAGGATGACCGCCTCGAAGTCTTGTTAGCTCTTCTTCAACAAATTTTCTCCTGGCAAAGAAATCATAAAAGGAAAGCAAATACAATCAGGGCAACAGTAAAATCAATATGCAAATATCCAACTCTATACATTAGCTAAATCGTGTAATTTTTTCCATCTGTTTCTCAGTGATTACATAAGTGAACAAAACTGGCACTCAGATTTTAAAACCACAACCAGCATCTTCACAGAGCAGCGTAAAGATTAATTCTATATTGATGGGCAAGAATAATTTCAACCAACTATACAATCAGACCACCAAATGAATATGGCCACTGTTTAAACCGTGGAACCATGCATCGAAGTACCGGATCCACTGACAGCCGAAGAAATGGTAACAACACTCGGTCTGAATCACAGGTCAACGTTAATATACCAAACAAAAGCATGGCAAAAAATGCTAACCAGAACAAGTGGACCGTTCACAGCCTTGTCCGCAGAAATGTGCTGCTCACTACGAATACGGCAAGGTTATAAGCATGGAATACGACACAAACTGCTACCGCATCTATACCCCAACGGGTACAAAATGCATGATCAACTTCACCTCGCTAGATTTAACTAGGATTATAAATCCCTAAAATACTGTAAAAGAATCATCCATAAATCTCTAAGCGTGTTCATACGATGGATCATGTTAAATAACGGTATTTCAGAAGCTGGCACTCATATGTTATAGTTTAAATATCAGAATAGGTTCGTACTAATGCAATGAGCGTGAGATGGCTCTAGAGCACAATCTGACGCGAGCTGCATCTGGCATTGGAAGTGCTCAAATGCCATGGAGCTGTGGCCTAGTCACATGGCACTCGAGGAAATTATAAACAAGAGTACGGTACAACACGAAGTGAAATTTAAGCTTGGATGAGTAAGGTGTCATTTAATCCCCTAACTGCACCATACAATCTTTCAGCCACCATCATGCGAAAAAATACAGTACGATAAATTCCTTGTCTAAGATAACTTACAGTGAGAAAATTTCGTTTTCTTAAATCTAGAAACATTCGGCTAGTTTAGCAGACGAAAAACCATAGCGCTCCATGAGACAGAAATTCAAATCCTGAAGAAGTTATTCCGAGGTAAATTATATTTCGGCAGTGCTTTCGATTGCATTTGTTATTTAGTAAACAAATAACTAGGTTCAGGACAAAACAAATGGTTTCTTCAAATACGATAAAGGAACCTATTGTAAACCTCGCATGCGAGCGTTTTACAACCTACACATTTCGCTACCAGCGGCAGCATCATTGAGAGTGAACGAAAACAACAAACAAACGAAAGTATGACTTAAATAATCGCACAACACAAACATTAGATCCTTTAAGCAGTCCAAATGTAACTACCCTATTCTTAATATCATGTAAG